TATATATATATATATATGTATATATATATATGTATATATGTATATGTATATATATGTATATGTATATATATATGTATATGTATATATATGTATATGTATATATATATGTATATATATATGTATATATATGTATATGTATATATATGTATATATATATATATATGTATATGTATATATATGTATATGTATATATATATATATATGTATATGTATGTATATGTATATATATATGTATATATATATATATATATATAATATACACACAGTCTTAGAATAGCTGTTACTATTTTTGTAATTAAATACCTTTGGATTCTGTCAAAACTGATAGTTCACTTTAAGCCGTTTTTTTTTTTTATCCTTAACTAAATTTAACAGATTCATTGCCTGAGTTATGGTGTTTTTGATTTAAATACGTTTTCTTGATGGCTGGAGGTTTAGAGGTTATGGGTGAGTTGAGACTGTGAACGGTGGCTTTGAATACTGAGGACTTTCTGAGGAATCTTGGGATTAAATTATTAAGATCTTTGTTATTTTCTCTACATTTACTGTTCCAAGATGTAACAGTTTGTGAGGATGCACTCAAATGTGCCAAAGCGCTGGTGAAGATCGAGAGGGGACATTATAGCTCAACACCTCTGTCAGCAACCTCATGATTATGTGCAGAATTTAGAAGAACACTAATGTGTCAGCAAATTAAAAATCTAAGGACTGAGTTCACATCCTTGAGGGACACATGTGTTCTATTTGAACGAGGCATTCTGTCTTGTCTTCCATCCATCCATTAACTTTACTCACTTCTTCCTTTTCGGTTCACGGGTGTCACTGGTGCCACTGGTGCCCATATCCAGCAGTCACTGCGAGAGTTGTGTGACACCCTGGACAGGTCTCCAATCCATCACAGGGACACATAGACACAACCGTTCACTCTCACACTCACCTAGGGACAGTTTAGGGTTACCAATCAGCCTAACGTGCATGATTTTGGTCTGTGGGCGGAAACTCACAGCATGGAAAGAACATGCAAACTCCTCCCAGAAATTGGGCTCAGCCAGTTCCACCTGGCACTTTTAGCTCGTCTCTGCTGCAGCCACACCTTAACCACACCCCACCACCACCGACTGACTAAACCAGATAAAACTAAAGTTTGGATAACATTATGTTCAAAGTTTCTTTAGACTGCACCATGTATTTTTTTTATTCTTCTGAACATAGTCTTCCACGGGTCTCGTGCAAATGAGACAATCGTGTGTCCATGTGACAAACCAGTATAAACAATCTCAACTCAGTCCTTACTGCTTTATCTTTCCATAACGTCACCTCACATTCTGTTTGGCAAAGGGTCAGATTTAAATTTGGGTCAACTCACCGGAATTAGGATTATTTTTTAATTTGTTTTCTCAGTGAACTCCAAATAAAATCAGCCTGGATGTTGCAGATGCTTTGACCTTAATAGTGGCTCGTATTTTGCAGCAACTAAAACCTGAGGCTTGAACTGTTCTTGAAGCAACACAAAGATTTATTATGTCTAACCGATGCTCTGAGTTCTTCTCTATTGGCCAACTGTTTTAGTCCCGTCTGCTCTTTCAGATGATTATCTCTGGGGTAGAATGCAAAGATTTCTGACAGTGTGCAGAGAGTCCAAACATAATTTCATTTGACCGAAGGAAGTGTCTGTCTCATGGTGTGCTTATCTTGTTCTAGCAAACCTCTCATGCAAGAAAAGAACCAGTCACACAACAGTCAGCTCTCTTCCCACGTTTTTTCTTTTAGTTACGAAATGTTTACAAATTAAAAATGGCATTTTTTTAAGAACCAACCAACAATAAAAGCTTTCAAACAGAAGACAAAAACACTGAAATGACTTGTTCCCTGCAGCAGCAGCCACAGTAAGTGTTGTATTTGTGGTGGCCAAATGAGCTGTGGTGTGCAGGTTCAGGATACTTTCATGTGATTTTGCAGCTAAAAGCTTTCATAAAACGTTGGAGACATGTTTGAAGCTATATATGATATGAATTTTTAAAAAAAAATCAACACTCAAGCTCCACATTTGACAAAATGTTCTAAAGCGAATATTAAAGTGATTTTGCTCATCCGTCACAGGGATTCATTATTATTTTGGTAACCTTCAGTGAAAATAACCAGATCAATAACTGTAAGAGCGCTTGTACCAAAAGGAGAATTTTATTACCATAAAACTAACAAATGGTTAGTATTTTAGCAGGAAACTTAAAAAATAAACACGATCATTTCCGTGCGTAAAGTTCGAGTCCATCATGGTCTGATGAAGGATGCGCAGCCGCTTTTAGTCCCATTCAGGTGATTTTTGAGCAAAAAGTCGTTGCAGTTTGTCAGATTGTTGGTAAGATCACTCAAAAACTGTAGTCCCAAATTATATGAGACTTCAGCGGAGACGCGTAAAGGCCGCGTGAAGATGAGCCCACATTAGTAAAATAAAATAAAATCCATTTCCAAATAAAACCTTTAGATGCGCTCTCTGCTTCTTGGTGTTAATAAGAGCTGATCTGAGGTGGAGGAGGAGTTTGATGAAGTCACTCAGCATGTTTTACACATTTACCCAACAATTCACACTTCGTCCAACCATCAGACTCATCCTGCTGCTCGGGAAGGTGGGGGTCCTGAGAGTGGACCCTGTGCGCTGCAGGGTCAAAACCATGAAGTGGAAGCGCAGCGTGCGCGTGGATTATTTCTGGATCAAAGAAGAGCTGCTTGGATAACAGGCAGGACTTGAGTCTGTCCTTATGGACCAACGCGCCACCTCTCCTGAGATGATTGGACTTGGACAAAGAAGTTCCGGTTTGTTGAGCGATCAGCGCTTTGATGATTTTTTTATTAAACAGCAAATATGGAATTAAACTGATTAAACTTCCACCTCCTGCTAAAAGCTCTTATTCTGCCTGAACTAGTCAGACATGGATCTGACCAACAGCTCCTTGCGTCACCCCTCCCTTCTCCACGGGGACTTCAGCCTGCTCAGCGACTTCACGGATGATAATGAGACGAACTCCACGGTGGGAGATGGAAGCCTGCTGGGCTGCGTCCAGATCCGCGTCCCCCAGGAACTGTTCCTGGCGCTGGGACTGATCAGCCTGGTGGAAAACATCCTGGTGATCCTGGCCATCATCAAGAACCGCAACCTGCACTCGCCCATGTACTACTTCATCTGCTGCCTGGCGGTCTCCGACATGCTGGTCAGCGTCAGTAACGTGATAGAGACCATCTTCATGCTCCTCACGGACCACGGCCTCCTGAACGTGCACCCCGACATGCTGCGCCACCTGGACAACGTCATCGATGTGATGACCTGCAGCTCCGTGGTGTCATCCCTCTCCTTCCTGTGCACCATCGCGGCGGACCGCTACGTCACCATCTTTTACGCGCTGCGGTACCACAGCATCATGACCACGCAGCGCGCCGTGGCCATCATCGCGGTGGTGTGGCTGACCAGCATCACCTCCAGCATCCTCTTCATCGTCTATCACACCTACAACGCCGTCATCTTGTGCATGGTCACCTTCTTCTGCGCCACGCTGGTGTTCAACGCCGTGCTCTACCTGCACATGTTCCTGCTGGCGCACGTGCACTCCCGGCGCATCACCGCCTTCCACAAAGGCAGGCGCCACTCTACAAGCATGAAGGGAGCCATCACCCTCACAATCCTGCTCGGGGTCTTCGTGGTATGTTGGGGCCCCTTCTTCCTCCACCTCATCCTCATCCTCGCCTGCCCCAACAGTCCCTACTGCAACTGCTTCTTTCGAAGTTTTAACCTTTTTCTCGTCCTCGTCATCTGCAACTCGCTCATCGACCCGCTCATTTACGCGTACCGGAGCCAGGAGCTGCGCAAAACCCTGAAGGAGCTGCTGCTGTGCTCCTGGTACTTCAGCGCGTGACACTTTACACATCTGAGAACATTCTGGTTCACGGAAGTTGAAATAAACCATGAATGAATGGTCGCTCCTTGTTTTGCTGCATTCAAAAGTTAAACGCAGTGTGTGTGAGGGGATTTTGGCACTTATAAGTTGTCAGGGTAACTGTTTCATTCACCCCTGGACAACATCTGGACTTTTATTTAAACTGTTCTCTCAGGTTCACCACTGGCCACTCAGCAGTCAACTGGAAACTATTGTTCTGTGTGTTATGTTAGATTTTCTGCCTTAGTTTTTATCTTTTATTTTAAAGCTGTCTTCCTGGAGCCCTCAAGAAAACAACAGTTAAATAGTTTTTCACAAATAATCCCAGACAACTAAATAATCTTTTGGACACTTTAGATCATTTGTGTCAAGACAAAAAGTCCAGAACATTTTACACTTCAGGCCTACTTTCTTCTTTCTCTTTTATTTATTTGTTTTAGAAAGTTGTTTGGAATAATTGTTGTGTAAACTAGCAACATGCAAACTGGATGAAATCAAAAGTTAGTGACGCTAAGGCTTTTAATTCTAAATGATCATATTGGTCTGTTAAGGGACAAAGCGACTCTTACCATGAATGAATGAATAAGGTCGACCTTTCTGCACCGTCTTCAGAAAATGCTCGCAGTCTTTTTGGTGGTTTGTTGCGTGTGAACCAGTCCTTCGGAAGTTGGTGACTAAAGAAAATAAACAAACAAGACATGATGGGAAAATGGATCACGAGGACGGCCTGAAGCCACGGGGCTCATCATGGCATGAAAAGAGGCGACTCAAAAAAAGTTTAATCTGTGGGATTCTTAGAAAAGTCCAAAGCGGAGAAGGCGGTTCCAGTTTCGTACAAAAGAATGAGTGCCGTCTCCATCAGGAGTGCACAAAGCGGAGGTGCTCTGTCTCCTTCATCAAAGGCCTGAGAATTATTCATCATCAAGAAGCCTCGTGGTTTGTTTGATTCCGAAGGGATTAACGTGTCCAAAAAGAGCAGAGGACAGGTAACATCACGTGTTTCAGGTTCAACATGGCCGATCCTTCCTGTGATTCTCAGAACGTTTGTTTTTTAAGGATCATTCTGCGGCTGAATCACCAGATTATTAATCTTGCCCTGCACACAGCTCATGCTCTAATTTATGGAGTTAACACTGAGAGAGATTAACATGAACCTTTATTTAACCAGGAAAATCCCATGAGCTCAAAGAGCTCTTTTGCAAGCGAAGGCCTGCAGGTACATGCATGTTTTGAACTGTGGGAGGAAACCAGAGAAAAAACACGAGGAGAACATGCGGAAAGACCCCAGGGTCCAAACGGGGCCTCAAACCCAAAGCATTCTTGCTGTGAGGTAACAGTGCTAACCACTAATCCACTGTGCCACTAAAGATGAGAGCGAGAGATGAAGAGATGCTTTCATAAAATAACGTTAAAAGCATCTTCAAGCACGTGAAGCTATTTGCTTCAACGTCTTTGCGCATGCATGAACACTGTTTCGAACCATCACAAAATGCAAGAAAGATACAACAACCGTCAAAACTAACGACTACTGCCGTTTCTAATTTGTTGCCAAAATGTCTGATCCTGCAAACGACTAACCGCTCGTTAAAGAGTCCCTAAAGTCTGAGGCTTTTGACTTCAGCCACAGCCCAACGAACACAAACTGCCATTATCAGTGTTCTCAGCTGAACTGCAGCCAGAAGTGAATTAGTGCAGGAGGTCCGGGGGTGGGGGGGTTCACGGGACAGCTTTTGGAGACTGGTTTAATTTAGTATCAGACCACAGGTCAGAATCTGCCATGTTTCAACCCGGACTGTCATCGTTAAAATCACAGAGAAGCAGAAGTTTGTTGAAACTTGAGACATAAAACTTCTTCACCTGAAGATCAAACGTTTCTGTTGAAATGGAGGTTTGAATCCGGTTTGGACAAAGTTACAACAGTAATTTGAAGCTCCGTGATAGAAAGGCCAAAACAACACACAGTTGTACATGAAAAAAATCTGTGACATGCGAGTTTGTTTCTTTTCATTATCTTGAACATGTGTTTCCTGTACTAGAGGCTAAATGTGTCCATTCACCAACATTTCTAATTTAATTTAAAATGACTTGAGAATTAGCACCGAGGTGAACGTGTCAAATGTGCTGTTAAATCTAAAATTAATAATTTTCTTGCTGCAGGACGTGGGGTCAAAAGCAAATGTCATTTTATTCTGTTTCCCTGAAAAACACTTAACTTCAGACTTGATGTTGGTTTATTTAAATACATTTTTAATAAATAAAAACATTCAGTCAGCAGACACTAAGGCTGTTGATGCATAACACAGCAAGCACATATTTTCATAATACCCAATTCTTAAACTCGTGATCGAGCTCAGTCACTTTAAATAGCAGCTTTGAACAGAGCCTTGGGGGGGGGGGGGGGGGGGTGTCCAATATAAAAAATAAATCATTGCTCTGCCCTTGAGGGGAAAAAAATTATGATAAGATTCAAAATCTATTCTCCACCGCTCCAAAAAAATTTAGACGACGTTAAAACTGATTTGTGATCATTATTTGATTTCCAGTCGCGTTCAGCTTTTTGGAAACGAGAAAATCCAACTTGTTGTTTCTGAGCTCAGTCTTTTTTTAAAGTCGCGCACATCTGGACTCGTCACCCACGTCAACTTTATTTGTTCTGAACGTTTGCAAACGGCACAGCTGACTGAAGAGCTTCACAAGTTTGATAAACACAAACTAGGAAATCCAACAATGCGATAAATTCAGATATTCGTGCATAACAACTAACGGGGACAATAAAACAGGATAAAATGAATCGAAGGCACCGATCAAGTTCCAAGAGCCCAAACCATGACATTACCTCCACCATGCAATGCAAGGTTTGCTTCTTGAAACCTGTCTCCCATCATCACAGCTCCTCCATCATCTCGCTTCAGAGCATTTCTTTATTTATTTTCTTTACACGTAATTTATTTACAACTTGGTAAATAAAGGAAAAAATAAAAAATGCCAAAGCCAAGACGCCTTTTCTGAAAAACTCACCACATTATTTACTATTCCTGAAACTTTTGCTGGCTTTCTTGCTGGTTTGTTTTGCTTCAGTGCAATAAAAAGTTTAACTTCCAGCATCATTTCTTTAAACAATATATTAATATTTTTAAGGGGCACAGCTTTTTGTGAAATTAATAGTTTTTTTAATGCTATAAGGAGCATTAAGCAAAACAAAACAGTCCGATGAGTCAAACTTGATTCAACTCATTCACAAAAATCACATAAAATCGTTTCGAGGTCAGTAATCACAACCAGAATTAATAAATTAAGCTCACTGTTAATTATTAAAAAAATTAAAGGATTTTAAGTGCACCTTATAGTCCGAAAAATACGGTAATTAGTAAATATTCTCATTTTGCAAGAGCCGGCAAAAATTGAATTTTACCCCTAAGATTTCAATGCATCTTGATTGGTTTATTTTAAGTCCAATATGATTAATTTTATATCCATTTTATTTTTTTTGTATTGCATGATGCGGATGCAAATTGTTAAAAATGTTCTGTGTCTCCATCACTTACTGACTTGACTGTGGACGTGATCTTGAATGTTTTTAATTATTAAGTGTTATGAATCCTTTCTTTATTCAGCAGCAGCATAACTTTCTTTACAGCATAAAAAAACGTCTGCATCTACTCTCCAAATGACAAAATTACGCCAATTATTGTATTTAAATAAGTGACAGAAACCAAGCGTCTGTCTTACGTAAAATATCTTTTCGTTCTACTTTTATTCTTGGGTTTTGATACTTTTAATGTATAGAAACAAACAAACATTAAGACAAGCAAACTGATGATAAAATATAGAAATGTGTTAAACAAAATTAAAGTGTTTGAATAAAGAGTGTGGACATTTTCTGTTAAAAAAAAGTGTAATCATTTTGTTTGTTTTGTTGTTTCAGTGCTCAACGTTTTATATTTGTCTCATCTTTTACAACTAAAATGTCCAAATATGTTCTTTAACAAATGAATAATGATCAGCGACTGTATGGAGCAACAGTGGTTTTAGTTTTGAACCAACCTCTCAAATGTCTTTATTGGAGATATATCTCATCTTAAAACAAACAAAAAAAACTTCAATGTGTTTGTAAAGAATGTGGTTATATGGAATATGATTATTTGAAGCAATTCAACAACAACAACTGAAGTAAATATGTATCCAAGTTATTTTATTAATTTATTTAATTATTGTTTTATGAAGAAGAAAGTACTTTGTAATCTTTGTACAGCTCCTGGGACTTTGGTTGAAAACAAACCTCTTGTTGTCTTAGGTTGCAAAAGACTTTACATATTTGTTTTATTCAGTTTATTCACACACAGAATCATAAAACATAACACATAACTGCAAGATAACATCAGCGATTTAAATCTTACAGAGGGAGCCTGCGTGCATATAATTATAAAACAGTTTAAACATAATAAAATAACAGAAAAAATGCATCGTACGATCCTCATAAAAATTCCTCATACGGTACAGATTATGTTACCTGTGATCAATCAGGTCCTGCAAGTGATCTCAAGTAAATAAACAAAGCAGTTTGTTCTGTAACTGTTTTTTGAAAGTGGAGATGAATTTCAACTCTTTTAAACTCTCGTCACGCTCGTTTCAAATCTGAGGGCCTCTCCCAGAAAAGGTCCGACTATGTGATTTTAAATCTTCTATTTTTGGCATAGATGTTTTTTTTTCTGGTTTCATAAGTATGTTGTGGACCACTAATTGGAACGAGATCAGTTGATCTATTATTAGTTTTATTTACAATTTGAAACATCAAACAGGCGTTTTGAAACGCGTTTAATTCTGTTCGCTGAAGAAGACCTAAAGGATGGAGTAGATGGGATGTGGGGGTGTTATACTCGGACCATGACACAGCTCTTATTGTCTTCTTTTGAAGGCTTTCAAGTTTCTTAAGATAATTAACGTAATCATTGCACCATATAACAGTATAAAAAGTGTTTCAATGAGAGAGTTATTCATTGTTAAGAGTGTGGAAAGAGGCAAATAATGTAATTTAAAAAACAAGCCGACATCTTTGGACAACTTTGCTTGGAGATACTCTATATGCAATTTAAAATTTAATTTGTCTGAACATACGTCTCCTTTTTTCTTTTTACGCCACAAGGTCTGTTCTTTTTCAGTTTGCAGCCACTGAACGACAGAAAAAAACATGGTAATCATCTTAATGAGCAGATTGTGGAGTGACTGATTTGGTGACAAAAACAGGAATTTTCCAATCAGAAATGCAGTTGCTTTATTTTGCCTCCGTGTGATCGTCTACGCTGCGACACGACTCCCACATGATCAGAATTTCCTGGAAACACCAAAATGTTCCAACGCTCTTCTCATAACAAAACCAACTTCGGCTGAAGATATTTACACATTCGGCTTTTGATTCCTTTGAAGACATTTTGAGCTAATGGCAAGTTGAAGCGTCGCTTGTCACAAGTTGTGATCTCTTGCTGGAACATTTATTTGTTCATTCGTGTTTATGTGATGGAGACAGATGAACGGCACACGGATGAGTAAAACAACAAACAAGAAAACAACAAACAAAAACACTTTGAATGTAATTATCAGTGTTTTTGAAAAAGAACTTCCTATTTTGTTAAATTTGTGCGGCTTTTAGGGGACAAAACATTGAATAAAAATCAATAATGAAACATTTTAGATTAGAACATATGAATGCACAATAAGCCTGTTTAAAGCTGTTTGTTGTGGAAGACTCTAAACTTTAGTATCCAACAAAGTTTAGTCATGAAAAGACTTTTCATTGTTTTTTGGATGAAAGACGAAACATTTCAACAAAATAAATCGTCCAGAGGACCTGATTTAACTTTGTTGGAGTTTTCTACCTGGATTATTGCACATGTGCATGTATGTAGGGGTGTGTGTGTGAGTGTGTGTATGTATTTGTGTATGTATGTGTGTACGTGTGTGTGTATGTATGTAAATATATATTGTACCATGTATCTATGTATGTGTGTATCTGTGTGAAAATGTGTGTATGTGTGTATATGTATATGTGTATGTGTGTGTGTGGGGTGGGGGGGTGTATGTATGTACGCATGTATGTGTGTATGTACGTATGTGTGCATGTATGTATATATATGTGTGTGTGTGTGTGTGTGAATATGTGTGCATGTATGTATATGTGT